AACATATTTTAAAATTTTAGTTGACTCTCCGAATTCCATATGTCTCATGTAATTGAGACAGAGAAAAACATATATTGGTTTAAAATTAATAAAAATATTATAAATTATAATAATTAACAACTTAAAATTTATAAAAAAAAACCTTTAAAATTTTTTAGTTGGCTCTCCAAATTCAATCAGTATTACAATAATTAAAACATAGAAATTAACATAGATTGGACTCCTGCTGACATTTATGTTTCCTTTTTCTAAATTTTCTCTTTTATACTTTATATAAATAATTTTTTTATGTAAAAAGTATTATAAATCATAATAATTAATAGCTTAAAATATTTCAAAACATATAAAAAGTTTTTGTTAACTTTCAAAATTTCATCTATGCCGCATAAATTGAGAGAAATATAGATATATAGATATTTTAAGTTGCTAATTATTGTGAGTTATAGTACGTTTTATGTAATTTTCATATATATTACTCGGTCCTGATTTATGTGATACAAATGAAATTTCAAAAGTCAATGAATTTTTTATAAGTTTTTTTTTATATTAACTTGTTAATTATTGTGATTTCTAATATATTTACGTAAAATATACTCTAAATACAAATAATTAGCAACTTAAAATATATAAAAACATACTAAAAAATTGATTAATTTCAAATTTCATATGTACCACATAAATTAAAACAGAAACAGTAACATATATTGGGCCCCGTGCTGGCACGGGGTCTCATATCTAGTTTTAAGATATGTGACAGTTATCTAATTTTACATTTCTTAAATTAAAAAAAATAAACTAAAAAAAAGTGTAGGTCTTAAGCATCTCAAGACCTTTTTGGTTGATCAAAACAATATTAGAAAAATTTAATAGATACATTATATCATATATATTTAACTATTAGAAAAAAAATAGAATATTTTAAAGTTTTTTAGTATGTGTATTTTTAAAAATGATAGAAGATTTTTTTACAAACCGTTTTAAAATATAATTAAAAATTTAAGTTAATTGACAAAACCGCATAATTTTTAATTTTTTTTTTTAAAAAACAACTGTCAAATGAACTTTTACTAAACAAAAAGAGAAAAATAAGGGAAACAAATTAACCTCCACTTCAAGCATTAAAATCCTCTCACGTTTCTTTATTACCTCTACACTCAGACCCACTTTCAACAAGCACTAATTCTTTTCACGAAAACTTACTTTTTATATTATAAATATTTTGAAATTCTAAAATGTTATGTTTCGGATGGTTATCAGTGAATTGAAAATAGGTTGTTATTAGCAATGAAGAAGATAAAACAAGGATGTTGATGTCTGGGCCACAAATTCTATGTTAGGAAAGGAAAAAATTAAATATATAATAGGAGAAATATTTATATAAAATAATTTAGTAAGGAAATACTTAAATTAAAATCAGAAAAGGAACAAAAAATATATTAACTAAGTAATCAACAAAATTAATTTAAAATCCGAAATTAAAAATTAAAGACAATTTAAATCTTAAAATCTGTTTAAAGGAGAAGAATACTTATGCACGATGGAGTTTTTTAAAACATAATTCATATTCAATTAACAAAGTTAATTTATAATCTGAAATTTAAAATATTTTAAATCTGAAAATATTTTCATTTTAAACAACAAAAAAAGAAGAAGATAACTTTACCCTTTTTTTTTTAAAAAAAATAATCTTCCCACGTTTTAAAAAATATGACGAATCTCTTCTTCTTATCCCCCTATATATTTTTGTATCTATTGTTTTTAATTTTATCGACTTTTAATAATTATATTACATCATCAGATTTTTGATCGATGTTGAGATAAAGAAAAAGTAGGAGTAAGTGGCCCATGAAAGTGAAAAACATCCTTTAAGTTTATGTATTGTGGTGAATTTTTTTAGAGAATTAGAAAAATAAATGTAAGTTTTGATGCATTTGATATTTGGCATATTAGAAAGATAAAGCATAATGAATATTTTATTTAAATTGAATATATGAATAAAATAAGTATAGTGCCTCTAATAATGATCCATTAGCACCTCTGAAATAGTTGAAGTTATTACAAAAAATAACAGTTTGCATCGATTTAGCCAAGAATGACATTCTAAGTGAAAGTTGGGAGGTTTAAATAAAAAGATTTATCAATTAAATTTGTGTTTTTTTTAAGAGTATTATACTAATATATTATCATTAAATTAAAAAATTTAATATTAAATATTAATTAAAAATCTACATGCATCACAAAAAACCACGTGTCATTTTTAGGATTAAATTAGTTGTCATTGTAATTTTAAGTTATTGGTATTATTAGCGCATAATACATTTTATTAGTTATTTTCAAGTATAAAATTATCACATTTTAAATTATCCGCGCAACGTCGGGTACGTATACTAGTTATAATAAAGCTTAAATCAAAATCAAATTAATACTAATGCAAAAAGAAAATCAATTCAATACATATGGTTTGGTTTGATATTTGAAAAACCTAAACCAATCCAGTCATGTACACTGTATTTCAAATAATATATACTTGTCATAAGAATATGAATCTAATGACATTTATATTGCTATATTTATTTTTGGCTTGATGACAATCAAATAAAAAAGTCCACCCCAACCCTAGAAGTCAAATCTGAAATATTATGTTCACTCATAATAAAATAAACTCACACGTCGAATTTCAGCTACCATGGGCATCCATACTTTTATAATATGTTAGTGAAACAATTCTCTAAATTTGACTTGTATTTTTCGTCATCCCACTCCAGGCTGCTCCACCATTCTGATCTTCCTCTTATTTTTTTGATTTTGTTGGAGGTTTGAATAGAGAGAGGCAACTTCCTTATTCCATTGCAAGATATCACCTCAAGTTCCTCCAGGTGTTCCCACATACTCTCTGGCTCCCCAAACGTTCTTAATGCGTTTAAACTATACAAGAGTAACTTTCGGACTCTTGGAATTTCTGAGCTAACGAATGTCGTCTGACTTGAGCCGCATTGTGCCAGTAACTCTGTTGTCAGCTTAAAACAATAGGAAAGTGTAATTTCTTCCAAGTGCCTGGGTACAGAAAAAGCTCCACCAACATTAAAAAGACATGTTAAATTACGACAATGGGATATATCCAGTTTGCGTAATTTAGAAAATCTTAGACCCAGAAAATGACCGAAATCAGAAACACTCTTTAAATTATCTACAGAATAGAATCTGAGATATTCCAGATTTGGCATAGGATCATCAAACTGTCCACTTCCTTCTATGGATGGTCCAAAATCATAAGAGCAGCCAAAAATGTATAGTGATTTTAATCCATCAAAACTGTTGTTCCGAATGAACTCCGTGAGACCCATGCATTCTTCCAAGTACAAATCTGAAGCAAACTGCAACATGCTTGAGAGCCAGACTTTGCTTTTGAAAATGTCAAAACCTGTGAGGCATATCGCCCTTGTTGACTTGTTGAATGGTACCTCATCATGAGTTGAAGTATTCCCAACTGTAATGTGAAATCTTTTCAATCTTTTCATCCAGGTGTACTGGTCACTTTTCGAAATTGAAATTGATGAGCTATCCAAGTAAATAAAAAGTGATGTCAGATTGGGTAGATGTGATATCTCATCAAAAGAAGTTGCTCCAACAACACCTCCACTTCTTATGCGTAGCTGTAACATTTCAAGCCTTTGCAACTCGTGGAAAACCCCCAGGTCGATGCTCTCCTTCAACCTACCTAAAGTCATATTTAATAGCCTCAGATTTGTCAACTTGTCCATTCCTTCCGGCAGACAACATAACTCTGTCCTATCACAATCAAGCAACTGCAAATTGCAAAGATTACCAATAGCTGGTAACTCGTTCAACATGCGGCACCTTTGTAGTATTAGAGTACGTAATTGACATAAACTCCTGATGGAACAAGGCAGTGCTCTAATACCAGTTTCACTCAGATTCACAACTCTTAGAGCTGGAAATGACAAAAAGAATTCATGGGGAATTTCCCTAAGGCTATAATTGTCTTGCAATAGTAAAGTTGTTGTCTCTGGGTATTCCGTGAGGTTATCAGTAAGATGCTTAATTTTGTTGCTTATGAAAGACATTCTCTTGACATTATGTGAAATGGATTTATCTATCCATATAGCAACATCACGAACCACATCATGCATCTTCACACAATCCTTCTCATGGGCTTCTTCTAGTAAGCAGACATTTTTTAGATCCTCGATAATTGTGATTCCCCTGTTGTAAGCCTTTTCATATGTGTCATGTTCACCAAGGAACCCCTCTGCCCACCAGCAATGTATGAGATCATTTGTTGGAATAGACGCTGGATATAAGGAGCAATACAAGAAACAACTTTTAATGTCACTTCTATTGCCTCTTTGCTCTAAAGAATCAACACTCCATTTGATGACCTTGTAAACCTTATCTCTTACATATGTGGCATTAGGTTCAGACTTTCTAAGTGATTCCAAAGCATCTTTCCATTGCTCGGCCATGTTCTTCCCTCTCATAGATGCTCCAATAACTGTGATTGCTAAAGGTAAACCATCACACTCTCTTGCAATTTCCATTGCCACTGGCTGAATATCCACCGGCCAATTGGCAACATCTCCCACATTTTTGATAAACAGAGCCCAAGATTCATTCTCATCCAATGTGTAAACCTTCATTTCGATGTCAATTTCCATTTGGTTACAAACATCCAAAAAACGAGAAGTTATAATAACCTTGCTTCCTGCGTGATCTTTTGGTTGGGGCACACCTACATGATCCAAATCTATAGCTTCCCAAACATCATCTAGTATCACAAGGAAACTCTTTTCCTGCTTAAGCCTTTGATAGACTTTGCTGGCATTCCTCTCTTCACTTCCCTGATCAGTATTTACCTCTAGGCTTAATCTGTCAGCAATTTGTGCTTGAACCTTTCTTATGTCTATTGGCGGTTTGGGTACTGTAACCCATATCACAACACCAAAAGACAGTTTAGACCTAATTGACACGTCAATCTGTTTAAGCTCATTGTTCAAATTCTTCACCAAAGTAGTTTTCCCAATTCCTCCTGCACCCCACACTCCGATGATGCCAACCTGACATACCCAAAAGAATAATTAACCCACAAGTGAAACATGCAACAATGGTTGGTAATATACAAGAAAGAAGGATTGTAGGAGGCTTTGTTTCAACAATTGTCAAATTAAAAGATTAATTTCAACTTATTTATAATAGGAAAAAATATAAATAATATTATCTTATAGAGAAAATTTATTTTAAATATCTATTATATGTTGGCTAGAATTCTCTCAAAAAATCGAGGGAAATAAATTAAAAAATTAGTTTCCTCATTCTTCTCGGGGAAATATGTAGTTATCTCCAAATATCAAGTATAAATTGATATCTTTATGATTTGTGTGGCCAAATTTTAAATTTTATATGATTTTGTTTATCCTTTATCTTATACCAACAACAAGTGTTATTTCTACATTCCTTCTTGAGTAGTTTCTTAAGATAAAAAAAAAGGAAATAAATAATTTAAAAGATTAAGCAATATAATTTTATGTGAGTAAGCCACACTAATGAATATTACAACATAATTTAAAAAACAATTTTTAAAATATTGTAGCTTAAAGTATAATTAAGTATGATGTACTCAAGTTACACACACAAAATAATCATACAATGAATTCATGATCGTACTTTTTATTTTTAATTCATATTGAAAATTACTTTTTGAATTTGAATTAAAAAATAAATTTAGAAATTGAACATGAGATACAAATTTATTCAGTAAAGGTGAAAGTGTTTAACTTGAGTTTTAAATCATAACCACTTCTAACAGATTAAATTATATAGGAGATTTCTGCTAATTTATATTTCATTTTATTATTTATGTATGTCTAACAAAACTTGTTAATTCTAATTTCACATAATACATGATTTATCTATTATAAAAAATATAAGTAGACAAATAGTCAATCAATATCTTTATTTATGTTTTATAGTAAATGAAATTATAATTTTGCAATAAATGGTTAATCAATATCATTATTTATATTTTGTAGTAATACAAAGTTATAATTTAAAATAAAATAAGACAGCAAATCTAAAAAATGAAGAACAAAAATATGGGCAATGGAATAAAAATTTTAAAATAAATTAAATTTCAAGAAAAAGAAAAATAATATTTATTTATATTATATTGTATTGAAACAAATAATAAGTAAGAATATTAGGTAAAGTAATATGTTAGAGTATTAAAAAGTCACATATGAGGATACTAATTAATGAGTGTTACAGTAGCAATAACTTTATTTTTCATGAATAGTGGATAGTCGTGATCCTTCATAAGTAATTTTTTTAAGTTCATATTTAAAATGTTCTTTTTTTATAATGTATTCTTTCTTTTATGTCATCTGCTTATATAAAGAAAAAGATAAGTTGTATAAATTAGTAGCTACTCCCTTTATCCCAGTTTTGTGACTTACTTTTCTTTTTAGTTAGTTTCAAAAAGAATTTAACTATAAAATATCTATTTTACTCTTAATGGAATGATTTATAGCCACACAAATTTCTATTATTCATTTTGGACCACAAGTTTTAAAAGTCTTCATTTCTTTCTTAAACTCCGTGCCGAGTCAAAGTACCTCACATAAAATGGGACGGAGGGAGTATTTGATTTAACGATCTACTCACATTTAGGGGTAGCAATTTCAGCCCATATTAATGAAATGAGTCAATTTTGCCCAATGACTTGGATCACTCATATTTTAATGAGCAACTTTCACATATAGCAAACATAAAAATCATATTTGTATGTTTTAACTATAGTTTGCATAATTGCGCTCCATAGCAAACATAAATATGTATATTTTGCTATACATATACAAAAGAAAGCAATTGTATAATTTTGCTATACATACACAAAAGAAAGCAGTTGTATAATCTGCTTTGGTATACATATAAAAAAGAATCAAATTGTATAATCTGTGTTTGTATAAAAGCGGAGTAAAAAGAGAAGAAAGACAAAAGAAAAACTGGGCAGGGAAATATCGTATTTGTATAATCATAAGTGTATAGGAAGAAAATATATGTATTTATATTTGTATATACAATTTTCTCTCGCTTTATACAAACACAAATACAATGTATACATTTGTGTTTGTATAAAGTGAGAGACGCGAGTGAACGAGCGAGATCTGGGAGAGGGGAGAGAGGAGAACAAAAATATATGTATATATACAATTTTCTCTCGTTTTATACAAACACAAATGCATTTTATACATTTGCGTTTTTGTATAAAGTGAGAGAGGCGAGTGAGCGAGCGAGATTTGGGAGAGTGGTGAGCGAGATATGGGAGAAGGGAACGAAAATATATGTATATATACAATTTTCTCTCGCTTTATACAAACACAAACACATTTTATATATTTGTGTTTGTATAAAAGCGAGAGAGGCGAAATAACAACAGTTTGCTATGGGGTACAATTAAATCAAACTATGGTTATAACATTTAATTTGAATTAATAGTTTGCTATTAGATACAATTTTCCCTATTTTAATTGGTTAAATATGAGCTTTAAACTATTTTAAGAGTCTCTACAAATATGATCAAAATGGATAAAATATGGGTATCCATATTGACCCATAATAGATCACTTAATTTTCATTTCCACTCAAAATTCTTAATTGTGCTAAAAAATAAAAAAATTAATATTAATTTTCAAAAATTAAAGTAATTTTCAAACTTAATTGAAAAAACAGTATTTTTTTGTTTTTGGAAAACAAAAAAAATTTAGGGGTAGGTTGGTGGAAGGGGGGCACCCTGGGGGTGCTGGAGGAGGGGGTAATTTTTATTTTTTATTTTGGAAAACAAAAAGAATTTAGGGGTCGGTTGGTGGAAAATTGGAGGGGGGGGGGTGGGGGGTGCCCGTGGGAGGGGTAAATTTTTTTTTTTGAAAAACAAAATTTTTTAAATGGGTTAGAACCATTTTACCCAAATCATATTTGACCATATTATATTTGGGTGGATTGTAATCCAAATCATTTTTGCTCAATTCATATTCAATCCATCCAAATCCGATCCAATCCAACTATTTGCCACCCCTACTCACGTTTGTTCTATGGTTTGAAAAAATATTATATACTAGAAGTAACGTTATAACTCCTTGGTATATGTTTTGTTTAATTAATGCTAATTCCATTTGAAAATAGAGTAATGTTTAGAGAATTTAATATATCCAATGGTTATATTAATTTCTTAGTGTCACAAAATTGTCACCTCGCCTTAAATTTCAACGAAAACTAAAAACATAAGACATAATAAAAAATAAATAAATGGTGATTTAGATATTAGAAATTTGTGATAATATAATGAATATTAGTAGCTCTGTTGGTTGTCACTTACTACAATTTAACTTTATAATTTCTCTTTTATTCTTAATGAAATGATTCTCAACTACACAAATATCTAAAGATTGTTTTAGGGAAAAAGGTCTGAAAAATACTTCAACTTTGACTGAAATTGTTGTTACGATACAAAACTTTATGGAGGACCTTTTACCTCCCTGAACTATTTAATAATGTATTTTAAAGGTATATATGTGCCCATGTGGACACATTACTATTTATAATTATGCAATATTTTTTATGTCTACGTGGACACATATATACCTTTAAAATACACTATTAAATAGTGCAAGGGGTACAAGGTCATTTCCAAAGTTTGGTATCGTAATAGCAATTTCGGTCAAAGTTCGAATATATTTCAGACTTTTTTCCCATTGTTTTAGATAACAAGTTTCTTTTTTTAATTTTTAATTTTTTTAAAAATATTATGCCAAATCAAAGGATGCTACGTAAAATGAGGAAAGGGAGTAATAAGTAGGGGTGTGCAAAAATTGAATCGACCGATAAACCGAACCGAAAAAAGTGTTATTGGTTTATTGTTATTGGGTTATTGGGTTAACGGTTATTTAATGGTTTTACAAAAAATAATTATCGGGTTATCGGTTCGTTATTAATTTTTTAATATTGGGTTATTGGTTTAACCGATAATCCATTAAAAATATAATAATTTACTATTTTAATTTTTAGTTATACATATTAATATATTAAACAAAAAATATTAATATAATTAGTAGTATATTAGACTAAAAATATAAAAACCCTACACAATAATTAACACTACTTAACAATTAACTCTCCTCTCTACTTTTAGTTATTTAACCTTTAGGTTTTACTTTTTAGTATTACTTATTTACTTTAGTTAGTTTATAATTGACTAATATTAGCTTTAACGTAAGAACTTCATTTAGTTGAGTCTTTTCTTTATATATGATTTACCATAACCATTGCCTCATTTGCTACTGTTTTGACTTTTGTCTATGATTTGATTTTATTTGATTCTCTTTATTGCATAAAGGGGACCTTGTTTTATATATTATGGTGATTGAAAATTGACCAAGACTTTGTTGTGATGACCAAAATACAACGTTGGTCCCTATTGTCCCGTTTGGGATGATTATTTCGATGTATGCGTATAGCGTTAAATTATTGGATAAGTCATATATTTGTTTTGAAAGTATTTTCTTATTGGTTAAACCGAAAATCGAACCGTTAAAGACCTAAAACCGATAAACAGAAAATCGATAACAAATATCGTATTGGTTTGGTTATCGGTTTAGCATATTTGAAAACCGAAAACCGATAAACTGAACCGATAATACTTAAAACCTAACTGAACCGACCGATGCACACCCCTGGTAATAAGTAATTATATGACTCAAACGCTGATATTATGAACCAATCATTTAACATTTTTTAAAGTGTTCACACTTGTTTCTAAAACTCGTAAAAAGTTTTTTAAAGGATAAATTAGTAAAATTATGTGCTTATTTTATGGGAGGAAGGGGTTAGTGTTTTTAGCAATTACCAAATTCTAAACAATTTAGGATTACTAATCTTGATTACTTCCAAAAATTAATACCTTATCATCTTCCAATAGTCGTAGGATTTTGTTGAGATTCCTTGTTGCTGCGGACTGGCCTTCTATTGATGGTCCCGGGATAAACTCAACTTTTTTCACCTGGTAATTTTCTACCATTAAATTGGATCCAAAGTTTTCTCCGACCTCTTTAAGCCTGCAAAGTTGATCTCGGATGTTCTGCACTTGAGTGCAGACCTCCGAGCGGAGGCTGCAATTTGGACAACACGTATATTTACGTGTCTTAGCCGTTGCAATGTTTTCTTGCATAGTTTCCCATTCATCCTCCAGCTCACAAACATCTTCGATCCACTTGATAACATCTGGTTTTGGTTTATAGCCTTCTCCCTTAGCTTTTTCCGTCTTTCCTTTGATATCATCTCTTAACTTTGTTATTTTCTCCATTTCCTCCCTTAGATTTTCAACTTTTGACGAGAAACGGACAATATTTTCAATCTTAGGATAGATGCATTTACATACAAACTTTCCGACCTCAACAACAAAGCCACCCACAACATTAATAAGTATTTCCATTGGTAAAGAAAACGTTTGTGATAGAGAAATTCTCAAAGATTAGCAAATGAAACTAAGCTGATTGTTTCTTGTTTGTTTAAGGCAGAGAAAGTAAATAAAATTATTGGTGAAAGTCAAGGAATTAATATAATAATAAAACAAGGCAACATGATTAAAATAATATTTAAGTACATGATCCACTTGACAACGGTATGTAAATGTCAACGATTCGTTCAGTTTCACAATTTATAAGCTGTCTTTTGATGTCTCAAAGAGCTTCTCTATTTGCCAACAACCATCTATTCAATACAACAAATTGTGAAAGTCTAAAGTGCTTTGTTTTATTTTGCTAATTTATTTGCATTAAACTCTATGTCAAGTCAAACAAGGCAAACAAATTGAAATAGAGGAGTTGGTATTTTAGAAAGTTGAGGTTGTTGAAGCATGGATACATGTAGTGAACAGTTTTGATGGTTCATAATTTGCCTGTGTGTTGGGTGTTACAGTTAAATATAATGACAAAACTTTTCCTCTAAATCTTTTAAGAACACAAACCCAACATGAATATTTGGTCACGTAAATATTGAAACATGAAATCTGCATATATACTTACCCCTTCAAAATAAGTCCGAGGAGATGTTTACAAGAGTTGTGAAGGGGTAAGCAATTTTCACTTGTTAAACTAGCAACCCAAAACGATGGAGCAACCATTATTTCTCAGTATCTTTTCCAGATTGATACTGAATTTGTGGAGGTAATTATGGCAAAATTCTTCCTTTTTCAAAGAACCATGAGTGGACAGCAATATATTTTACAACACATACATTTTTACTGATAGGAAGAGGTATATTATATTAGAAATCTTATAAGAGCACGAAATGTTCATATACCATGAGTATTAAAGTATATATCCAAGCAACTTGTCGGGTAAGTTTTCAGTTGTTTACTGTGGACCATTTTACAACACGAGAAAACCTCTGTACTGAGATATATATATATATATATATATATATATATATGGGGCACTCTCTCAGTTTTCCTTCTTTTGTCATGAGAACAAAACATGAGCTAAGTTTCAACACAGAAGCAATAACAGTTTATCACAATTAACAAGATTATCACACAACACAACTGAAACAAGATCAGTCCTCAATATCGTTGGTCCAGTTATAATAATATCCACACCAAGTGTTTCCACCCCTAGTGTCGTTGGTCGGGGAAAAAAGTTCCATAAAAAAACAAAAACAAAAACACAAAATTCAAAAAATATCTCAAAAAGATCTTTTGAATAATTGAAGAGAGACTAATAAGACATCTTTATCCCTCTTAGCCAATTGATATTTTCTTCTTTTCATTATTTTTTTACACTTATTGACTCTTCCTTATATTCTTTTACAAAAACTGTAGTTTTTTTAATTACTAATCTAATATGAATTGAATGTTCTTTGGAATATTGTTCCTCTTTATATATATAAAAAACAAGAATTCATATCTGAATTCACATTAACAATTACATACATTACGTGTTGGTGCTCACATTTCACCACAAAAGTTATGATAAAGTGTTAAATATTCATTCATTCATTCTTGATTCTTAATTAAAAGTCTCATATTATTAAAACCCCGAAAGAGCATACTTACTTTTGATAGAAAACATTTTACGTAGAATGCGAATTGATTGGCCACAAAACTAATACGAAACACCGATTGAGAAACTCATAAGAGAAAATTGTATTGTTATATAATGTGAATCTAACGACTAACATCACTTTAGAAATTCATAAACTTCAAATCTTGAATTCCCCTCTTACGATGAAGTGATGAAGAGATAAATACTTTCCCATTCTTAACTAGAGATCTTATGTTGAGCATGTGATAATAGATTCACCTTTAATAAGGGGGCTAGCGTTTTACCTCTAAATTAGTAAAGTGTTCATACACATAATTTGAATTGATTCAATCCTAAAACAGATATCAAGTACCAGATATCGAGTAAGAGAATGATGAGTATATCAAATCATATTATTCTTGTTGAGTGAAGTTCCACCTCAAATTGATTGTATATTCCATTTTGTTAAATGGATAAGATAAAAGTGTTCTAACAACTAAATAATTCATGATTAAGATAACCAAAAAATCAGGAAGCATGACCTACCTGTTTATTTTTTTTATTATTGAAATAATGAATGATGACATTGCTCATTGTACCTAAAAAAAAATTTATTTTTTATTTTGTCTCCAGACTCATAGGGCCTCCCCAGACAGACAATTTGTATTTATTTTATTTTTAGGACAATTTTTTTTAAGTTTATTTAGTTAACATATTTTGAAAAATACCTTCTTCTTTTTTGGAAAAAAATAAGTTTTTTATAATAAAAGTAGTAAAAATAAGTTCTATAAGTAACGTATTCTATGATGATAATTGTTTCCCCTCACCCCCATCCCCGGTATCATCACATTATGTTGAATGATGTCTTGATATAATTATTTGGTATGCCATAAATCATTTTAAAGTAAAATTTTCAAGTAAAAATAGAAAAAAACGCAAGTTTTATAAGTGACAATCTAATGGTGTTTATGTTTACACACCTCCTATTCACCCGACCTGGCCTCTACAACCTAGCCAGTACTCCTCCCACACTCTGCCCATAATCAAAATTTTCGTTAAGAAAATTTAAAATATAAAAAAGTAAACACATGAAGAAATTAAAAGTATATATACAACTTCTACTATATGAAAAAAACTATTTTATAGATTAATAAATTTATAAAATACTCTAGATTAATAACTTTTTCAAAGTGAGATAAGCTATTTTATTCCTTTTAACGAAAAACCAGAAAAATTTAAAAAAATTAAAAATTAAAAAATTAAACAAGTAGGACGTAAAATTTTCCACATTTTAAATATGTATTGTATACTCTCCCCCTTCCCCTGTCTCTCTTCACACTCATTTGTTTTCCCATTTCCACACTCATTATACATCTTCATATTTCGATTTTTTTTAGTTGAGAGTCTGTCGAAAAACATTTTTCTAAATTGTAAAAGTATGAGTAACTCCTAAGTACATTTTATCTTTTTTCAAATTTCACTTTGTGAGATTGCATGGAGTATATTGTTATTGTCGTTATAAAAGATCTTCTTTTAAAGCTAATTTTCAAAAACACACCTTTCTTTTTCTTTATTTCGTCATTTTCAATATTTCATACAAATTTCATTTTCAACCACATGCCATCAAGCTAGTGTCACGCCCCGAGCCTACACCCTGGCGTGGCCGGCACTCGAAGACCATTACTGGCCCCCAAGCGAACCCTTGGCCTGGCTTTCTTAACTCAGCAGAAACCTAACTCAATAGAATAACTCCATGCAACGGAAGGACATAAAACAACTTAACTGATAAAATCTGGCCCAAAAGGCAACTCGAGTCTCAAAATAGAATATTTACATATATACATAGATGAGAGACTCAATACTAACTGACTGACTTACTTACTATATGTCTATGAAGCCTCTAAAATACTGAGATGGATGTTGGGACAGACCCCGCAACATCCTAGTAAAACAAAACTAAGAGAACAAAATAACTGAGTCCTCTGGAATGCAAAGAGGCTCACCACTGACTCTGAAGTGCTCAGCTGGATCAACGGCGTGCTGGATGCTGATCCTGGTTACCTGTGTCTGCATCATATAAGATGCAGTCCAACTGGCATCAGTACATTAAATGTACGAGTATGCGAGCTAGAAACTAAGCACATAGGCTAGAAGGAAATCTGGAAGAAACTGAAAGGCTTACCTGGCTCAACTCAACTCAACCTGACTGACTTCTTTCAATATAAGACAATTTAAAACAAGTGCGATATAAAGAAAGACTGTTTAAAACCTGCTATAAACTCTGTATGTATACAAAGATACAATAAGCCTGAGATGTATATAGAAATACAAATGAACTATGCATATAAGAATACAATAATTTCTGTGTATGAATATACAATAACTACTATGGGAGTTTCTCTAACCGACAACCATCACATAGAGCTATAGTGATGATACAACGATCGACCTCACGCTGCCAGAGCATCCTATACCCGGCCAAATGTATAAGACCTGAACTGCCTAATGGATCCACTAGTCTATCTGGAAAAGGATTCATCTAAAAAGTATGATCATTTTCTACCCATGGTGTCTAACATGGTTCTATGGGGGCTGTGGGTTCCTTGAATGCTTCCCCAACTCGGTGCTCGATACCACTCCCAAAAATGTACTGGCTCTTATGTTTTTTTTAAAACATATTTCTTCCTGCTGATTTAAGATAATTACTCAAAAACTTAGCTCAAAGGCTATCTTGGAAAT